CGCCCTATTTTCTTCTATTGAACCATGTATTAGTCCAGAAAATTATTTTGCTTAACCCTTGGCTATGAATTTGCTCGAGTCTTTGGCGAGGGACAGTCAAAAGATTTTTATTTTTTGGAAAATGATCGAGGTATTTACCCAACTAGACACACGATCCTCTTAAAGAACTCAGTTTCCTGAGAGAAGCTTTGGCTTGGTAAATATCTTGATTTTTCTTCCATAAATTTTGTCCTTCAACACACTTGACAATTGTTTCCTTGATGAGGTTTTTCACCAGTTTATTCAAAGAATGGAACCTCCGTAGGAAATGGGTACTGGGGCAAATGGACAAAAGGGTATACCGGGAGGAGGAGGCCCGTTGCAGAAGGATTCTCCACAAGGCTAAGGCTGATTACAAGCTGAGACTTGCCAAGAATATCAAGAGCAACAAAAAGGGCTTCTTTCAGCATGTAAATAGGAAGAGGAAGGGGAGACAAGTGGTGGGACCACTAAATAAGGAGGAAGGAGATCCAGGACTGATATGAGGGAACAGGCACAGATGCTGAATGACTGTTTTGCCTCTGTGTTCTCCCCAAAGCAGGACAGGGGAGATCCGCATAGGAGATTAGATGAGGCTGGGGACTTAGGGGCACAGACTATAGTCACACCCCTAGAAGTCGAGGGGCTCCTCAGGGCACTGGACATTGCAAAGGCACCAGGCCCTGATTGGATACAACTGAGAGTATTTGAGAGTTGGCAGGGGTTCTCTCACGCCCGCTGGCCTCCATTTTTGAGGTCTTGTGGAAAACAGGTGAAGTTCCAGAGGACTGGAGGGTGGTGTCAGTGGTCCCGATTTCCAAAAATGGTAGTAGAAGGGACATGGGGAATTACAGACTGGTTAACCTTATGTCCATTGTAGGAAAAACAATGAAAAGGCTCATAATAGCAACAGATCTAGTGATGCTACAAAGGGAAGGGAGGCTGACGGCCACACAACACGGCTTCCACAATAACAGGTCCTGCCAGACAAACCTTGTGGGATTCTACGACAAGGTTTCGAGGTGGCTGGATGGAGGGGGTACAGTGGATGTGGTATACCTGGATTCCAGCAAGGCCTTTGACAAAGTGCCCCATGATATCCTGGTGGAGAAACTGAGGAGTTTTGGGATAGACCAATGCACTGTCTGATGGATTAGGGCATGGTTGACTGACCGAAAGCAGAGGGTAACCATTGGTGGGGAATCATCGGGATGGTGGCCAGTGACAAGCGGGGTCCCACAAGGCTCTGTCCTGGGTCTGATCCTGTTCAGTCTTTTCATCAGTGACCTCAAAGAGGGGGTGACCAGTCTGCTGATCAAATTCGCAGACGACACTAAAACAGGGGCAGTGGCCACAACTGAGGAGCAGGTACTCCAGATCCAAAAGGATCTGGACAGACTATGGAAGTGGGCAGGAGACAACAGGATGGCGTTCAGTGTGGAAAAGTGCAAGGTCTTGCACTTGGAGCATAGGAATGGGTGTCACAAGTACAGGTTAAGGGACAAGTGGCTGGAGAGCAGCACTTGTGAAAGGGACCTCGGGGTGCTGGTCGACTGCAGGCTGAACATGAGTCAGCCGTGTGATGCGGTGGTCAAGAGGGTGAACGCCATCCTTGGCTGCATAGCCAGAAGCGTGGCTACTAGATCAAGAGAAGTATTACTGCCACTCTATACAACTCTGGTGTGCCCGCAACTGGAGTATTGTGTTCAGTTTTGGGCCCCACGTTACAGAAAGGACATAGCCAGGTTAGAGTCAGTGCAGCGTAGGGCCACAAGGATCGTGGCCGGTTTGCAGGGGATGCAGTCTCAGGGAGGGACTGAGGGAACTGTGGCTTTTCAGACTTGGGAAGAGGGATCTGTTGGCGTCATGCAGGTATGTGAGGGGATGTCACACGGAGGTGGGCAGAGACCTGTTCTCCCCTGCAGGGGAAGGCAGGGTGAGCTCCAACGGAGGGAGCAAAGCTCAGGGAACCAAGGTTCAATTTGGATGCCAGGAAGTACTTCCTGATGGTTAGGACCCCCAGGGTATGAAATGGGCTTCCACGGGAGGGGGCTGAGGCCCCATCGGTGCGAGTGTCCAAGGACAGGCTGGACGTGCACATGGTGGGCATGTCGTGAGCAGAGCCGGCTGAAGCCAGGGTCAGACTAGATGGTGTGGGGGACCCTTCTGACTCACTCTGTTTCTAATGGAGTTACATGGCCAATTTTCCAGTTTTCTGGTAGAAGGTCACTTTAAGAATTCTGTGCTTAATTTTATTTCAGCAGTATCACATTTATATTCATCCTTGAATGTGGACTCCCTCAGAGCAGCAGTTTTTCAGTCAAAGGTCTTTAAGGCAGACAACTGACAAATCCTGAATCAGTACCCTCCAAGAAGCACTTGGGGAAGTAGATGCAAAACAGGGGCAAGTCCATAAATGCCCTCCCGCCCCTTGAGATCAGCAGGAGAGGCCCTTCTCCAGGAACCTTCTGTGAATATTAGGAGGGTGAGTACCCAGAGGAGGGCTTTCTCTGCGGTGGCGCCCCACCTCTGGAATGCGCTCCCCGGAGAGGTCCGCCTGGCGCCGTCGTTATTTGCTTTTTGGCGCCAGGCCAAGACCTTTTTATTTAAAACTTATTTTAATTGTTAAATTATTTGTATTTATAGGATTTTAAATTTTTAGCCAAGATGCACCGGAGGTTTTAAAATAATTTTTTTATTGTTATATTGTTATTTATGTATTTTGTTTCTGTTGTGAGCCCCCCCGAGGGTTCGTTGCGAGGGGGGTGGCATAAAAATGTTTTAAATAAATAAATAAATAAATAAATAAGTCCATGGCCACAAAAATCCTTAGGATGGATGTTAAATGCATCTACTGATTAAATGCATATATTTGCATTCCAGCCACCTGGTGAATGCACTGAACAACGAAATGGAACTCCCCCCCCCCCCCCCGCAACATTTCACCGAGATCCACTTAAGAGTGCGTCCCTTCTCCTAAAACACTTAACAGGCTTTTCTGGACAATAAAGCATTTACTTATATTTTTAAGAAACATGGGGTTTACAGACATCTATACAAAGGGGAGAGGCAAGCATGCAAGAGCCATCAATTCAGTTCCTGCTTTCTCACTACTGTTTCTACAGATGCAATCCCCTGCAGTGGAGCTGAAGGCATAATTACTTGTCAGCTGATAATTAACAATTCACTGCCAATTCAATGCCATGAAAGGCTAATTTAAAACAAGCAGGGTAATTGATGCTACAGTGGATTTTTTGGGCCATGCCTTGCTGAGTTCCCCAGATGCAGTAGTAAAAAAGTTATCAGAAAAAACAGAACCCTGGGGATGCTAACCATAATATGCAATTTGCAGACTGTGCTGTTGCGAGAAGCTATAACTCTTCAAAGAAAAGATTAAAATAAAGCAGTCTTAGCAGCTGATGGATGACCACAAAGGCCGTTTTTCTCCGTCTTTCATGAGGAGAAACTATCTACCATTGGGCGCCTTGTATCTGGAAAACACTGTTGCCTTCCTACCCCTTCCAACAAACCCAGCTGACTGCAATTCAAAATAAAGTTTGATCCTGGCCTGATTTATGAAATGTTATATTCTTCTTTCAATATTAAGCATAGCCAAATGGCCTGTAGTCCAAGTTTTAAATTATGCATGGGGGTCTGATCAACCAGCTGAAGGTTTGGGTTTGCTTAAGATACTGGTGTAGTTCCAGCAACCTGGCACTCAAGGAGGAATGAAAATGTTTTTGCTGTACTGGAAAGGAGGGCTGTATATTCTCATTTCCACACAAGATTTGTCTTGCTGGTTACTCACCGGAACCTACAAGGCATGAAAACACGGGCTACTTTTGAAAGTCTTTTCCAGAGCAAACCAAGATTGTTAAATTGAACATTTCTCCTGCATTGCTGTGTCCTGAATGCACGGGGGGGTGGAGACCAAGTACCTTCACTCAATGATCAGGAAGTTGAAAGAACAAATGAAATAATGCTTACAATTGCCTTGCCTTCTCCCCTCCCGCACTTCAGTGACATTTATTCAATGCGACTTAGAAGACTAGAATTTGCCATGTATTATTTCAAGGGAACAAAGTGGGGTTGCAGCGGAATGTAGAGATAAATTTAAGGTCTGCTGTGGTCTTCCGAAAGCAGCTTCAACAAGGCACATGCAATTCTGGAAGAAAACATGGCGGCACACCTGAGAGTACCTGGCACATGCACCAACATGTTCCCATTCAAGCATACTCCGCTTAATAGCCCCCATGCTAAGTAGCTGGTCCACGAGGCCAGATTTCAGGGCCAGGGAATGGGGAATGCCTTTTCTTCCACCCCAACCACCTTCGGGGGTTTTCCCGGGCCCCGTGTGGCAGTCCTCCCCACTTTCCGTTCTGTAGTTGCTGTACTCAGCAGCTGGAGGTCAGTTCTGCCCAAGGCACCAAGGGTCACCCTCCCCACCTCCCTCCGGGTGCATCTGCTGGTGGAAGTGTGACGATTTCTCAAAGGCTGGCCAACTGTGTGCAGGTGTGTTTCCCAACCAGGAGCACCTCGGAAGATGCTTCCAGCTGGAAGCTGCTGTGCTCCATGGATCTTGGCTTGATTTTATATAAAAATCAAGGGATGGGAGGGTGGCTGGTGCTGAGGACCCCACTTTTATGATGGGGTCCGAGCCATTCTCTGGAAGGACAGCTCAGTCAACCCCTTTTTCTCCCCACTCTTCCCCTTCTGCAAAGGAGGTTCCAGTCCCCGTTCCTTTGACCCTTCCCTCCACAGGATGCAGATAAGAACATCTTTGAAACTGAGAGGCTTCAACTGAGGTTGGAAGAGGCTCAAGATGCCAGGGCGACAGTGTACAAGTACAAGCAAAACCAGCTCCAAGTAGAGAGGGAGGAAAAGTTACAAAAAATGGGAGGCAGCTGGAGTCACGTCAGGAAGAAGGGGAGGTAAGCAAAAACAGTAACAGCACAATAATAAAGGCAGGGAAAAAAACAGAAGCAAAAGAATACAGAAGACATTTATTGAAAGTCAAAATAAAAAGAAATACAGACAGGCCATTGACTGCTTTCTACAATCCAAACAAGCAAATAACTAAACGCTACAGGTAAAGATACGTTTCATTATAAAATAGTTTTTAATTTTTTTCCGTATTACATTTTAAGCCAAGAAATGGAATTTCTGGTGTTTTATAACCCTCCCACCTCCAACCCCAATACTGAACCTGTAATAGCTGGTTATCAAAATATACAATACATCTGTTTTGCCATAAAAACTTGGGTTCTGCCACCCCCTTGTGTCTTACAACAGGTATAAAAAAAACTATAAATATGTACACCTTTTTTTTCTCATTACTCACATTTACATGCAAAAAACCCCACAGGAACAAAAGGAAAGAAGCCGGCGCCCCTTCTCCCGTTAACTTCCCCTGTTAACTTGTCTGTGTGCAACATGTCTTGGGGGGGGGGGGGAACGACACACACCAAAACACACAGCAATGACAGAAACCTTAATGGTTTGCTGGCAGACACGAGGCACTGAAAATGCCAGCCATGGAGAGGCTGGGTTCCAAGAAGCCCCCAAGAGAGGACTGTGACACACTTACAGGACTAGCCAAGGTTTTGCGAGGGATTTAAAATGTTACTTGCTGGGTGCTGCGGATGGTCTCACCTAGCACACGGCCCGCCCACGCTGCAACTCAAGAAAGCATCCCAGAGAGTGCTTCCTGGTTTCCTTGGGGGTAGCTCAGCAAACGCTATCAGGTGGGTATGTAAGGCAAACGGTGCTCAGCGAGCAGCTGTGCAGGAAGTCGCCCTTCCCTTCAAGTGCTCCTTGACATCGTGGTGGGGCACTTCTGAAAGTGAACTAGGCATGTATGGATTGGGGGCTGAATTTCCCAATCCTCCAGAACCCACAAGCTTCTCTAAACCTCTTCCTTTAAGGGCAGGGGAGATGCAGCTGATCTCTGACTGGCAGGCCACTGCTGGAACGTCAGTGTCACGTCCCTCTTGTGCCAAGGGATCCAGGGAGCAGGGAGGCCGACGTGAGCTCGCAGGGCCACTCTGATCACACCAGCCCAACTCTCTCCAAAGGGGCTGCATGTCTGACGGCACACACACCTGAGCTGCAGGCACGGGACAAGCTGCTTCTGCACACAAGAGCTCGGGGCTGTGGCCACCGGGCCTGCACAAGCGACCAGTCGCCCCGTGCGCTCTGTATCCTGCACCAGAGCGAGAACCAGGGATTGTGTGAGGCCGTCTTCGACAGACAGCCTCAGACCAAGCTAGGATTCCTTGCAGGTTTTTTTGGGGAGGCACTGCATGGCCCAAGGAGGATGGTCGTTACGGGGTTCCACCTTGGCTTGCACCAACAACTCAAACAGAACACTCACGCGAGACATCACACACTCCTCCAGCATAGATTGCATCCCCAGAATATTGGGGAGAAATTGGAAAAAAAAGTGTTAAGACTTTTCGGAAACCCTCAGTGACACAAGCAAGTCAGCAGCTCCTGCAAAAGAGCAGGGAACACATCACAGTGTATGTGATGACAGACAACATCACATACAATGAAAGAATAACTTTGGTCCACAATTTGCAGAAGTAACCCTGATATTAAGTCCAAGATTCTGGTTATCTTAAAGTCACAGGTGAATTAAGAGGGAAATGTAAGGCAACGTTGGAATACAAGGAAGGCAGATCAGCAGGGAAAAGCTGGAGGCAGCAAAGAAATGGCATTTCAGATAATATTCAGACAAAAAGATAACTTGTAATTCTTTAAATAATGTAGATAAGTTTAGATAATTAAAGATGACCATTTAAATTGGTTCTCCTCCTCCTTTTGAAGCAACTCATCTTTGCTACTTTTAAGTAATTCTTCAAAGTATAACAATTCTCAGTCATGACCTCTTCTTGATAAACTACATTCCTGCAATAGTTTTCCAGCTTTCAAGCAAAAATATAAGAATACAAGATATAAGGGTAATAGAAGAACAAGTTTAGATATAGCTATACCATCTTATCTACATAGTTATGCTATTGCCTTTTGCACATACACACATATGTGTGCGAATGCACACAAGAACTCCTTAAAAGTATTTGGTCAACTGGAAGTATTGCTTAACAGACTGCATGTAAAAAAAAATTATAAAGGGGATTAAAACAATAAGCTGAAGCTATTCACTTGTACAAAGGATGAAATCAGGTGGGGAGGCATCAATGCATCTTAAAACCAATTCTGAAAGCATGAGCCCACAAAATCAATAATCTGAACAAAGAATCATCAAAATTTGACACTTCTGTACACATTTGCACTTAGGCTTTGATTTCTAGAGTTTGGGATAACAGGCAGGATGACAATCCGCCACCCACATCAATCTGAAAAGCTCAAAAGCACTACTGGCAAGTGTTTCTAACCACTTTCCATTGGGGTGGGGGGGGGGGAGTGTCATGGACTGGGGAAGCCAAGATGGCCTGCACACTACAGCACATTTTGCATAAGGATGTCCAGATTGCTTACTGAGAGAAGTGCCCCCTGCCCTGTGCAGCCCGAACACCGGCAATTCTTGGTTCAACTTGCCCAATGATCTGTTTCTCCCACCTTCAGTTTGGGGTGGGCGGGGGACTTCTGAAGGCACCACAGGATATTAGATGCAAGGCTTGGGGAAAAGGCAACACCTTCGAAAAAGGCATCTATATTTGGGAGACTTAATTCAAAGGAATCATAATGCTGAAGCAAACTGCACAGTCAGGGGGTCTCTTCCAAAGCTTGAAGGTAAAGGCATCACTGGGAAAAGTAACTTTTCTGAGATAGGAAGGATTGCTTGTTTTAATAAGGGTGGGGGAGGAAGGTGAGGGGGACGCCCAGCAAGGTTTCCAACCAAGAATGGAAACTTTTTTAAGTTTATGATTTTTTTCTCCTGGTCAAAGATTATCACCCACTCACTGCAAGAAAATATTATAGAAACGTGAATTAAGGTTTAATTTTTTAAAAAAACCAGTAAATTGTTTTTCCTCCTTAAAAAAATAAATCTGTTTTCTTCTAAGGTCACTTCAGCTGTGTTCTCTCTTTTTTAAAGTGGCTTCTTTTCTGTTTCTGGAATGATGGAAGTTGTCCCACCCCCACTTCGGTCGTCCAGCCCTTGAAAGAAGATGCAAGGCGAGCCGGGTAAGGGCGATGGTGGTTCGCTTTTCAGTCAGGTCCATTCTGCGGCGTGTGCTGCCCAGCACTTAAATGGTGGACTTGGAGAAGGACACGCGCAGGTGGTGATTCTCGCCAAGGTCGTGGTTATGGAGGTCGATGAGCGACTGGATGGCTTCTTCCACAGACCCCATCTGGATGAGAGCCATCTTGCGGTCTCGCCTGCCGAAGAGAACAGCCCTAGCTAGAGCTGCACGCACACCCACCTGCGCGGCAGCCGCTCCCTGGCTTCGCAAACCAAGCCAGAGACCAGGGGGCAGCAGCTGCCAATTACCTGAGACAGAAGAGCTTTTAGCAGCCTTACTTCGACGTGTCGCCACACAAGTCTAAGCCTATTTTTAGCCCTATTCTGTGTGGTGCAAAATTACTCTCTGGAGGGATCGCTTTAAGAAGCAAATGTAGCCCCGAAACCCCACGATCACGAGGACGCCACAGACCAGACTCGAGAGCTTAATTTAGCAGCTGCTCACCCATGATGCATTTGCCCATGACTAGGGACGGCAGGCACTGAATTCACACCGAGAGCAGAGCCCCCCCGCTCCCGGGCGGAGGGTTAAATCTGTGCTCACGGCAGGAAAGCTCAATCGCCTGGGATGTAGAAAGCTGGACGCTGCTGTCCTTTCAAACAGCCCTTCCTGAGCACGGAGACTCCAGCTCCTAAGGACAGCAGCTCCCCCGAGCAAGGGAACTGCCGGGCCAAGCCTGCTGTCATTTCGCGGACCTGAAGCACCGTCAACTGCCCCCCCCACCCCACACAGACTTACTGGAAGAATTTGAAGCCTTTCACTATCCCACCATTGCTTGAGAACAGCAGCTTGAGGTCATCTTCGATTATTGAAGGCCTGGAGGGGAAAGGAGGAGGGGCTGAGTGTTGCCAGCAGAGGCAAGGTATCCCGGCGATTCCTGCTTCTGCCCCCACAAAAAAGGGGCTGCCTGTCTCCTCCCCCCACCTCGCAACGCCCCCCTCTCAGACACTTTTCTGGTGCTTGGAACCTGCTCCTCCAGCCACAGGAACATTCAACTCGTGTGGGGGCGGGGATGCCTGTGCTGCCCAACGCTCTTGTGATTCCCCGCATCTGCAGCCTCCCTTGCCATCCGCTCATCAGGATGAAGGGAAAATGCCACACTCACAGCCCTGGAAGGGAGAGCCAGGGCCACTCCAACAGCACGGCTGCAGAAGCCAGCTGAGAGGAGGCTGCGCTTTCCAACCACCACCCATCTGGGCAAGGAAGCTCATCTGCTGAACCCCAAGAACGCTCAAGTCGGCCGGAGAGAGTGAGCCCAGGCTCCAGGTTAGGGAAGGATGGACTGGTAGAGCTGGGTCCTTCCTGGCCATGCGATGAAGTGCCCAGGATGCACGCTGCCAGGAGCCACGGGCGAAGGGCATTTTGGGGCTTCTGCCTGGGCTCTAACTAGGCACTACATCTGCATGTGGACAAAGAAGGGGGTCTCAGCAGGGCTGCGGTGGCCCTTTGGGTCAGATAAAACAGTGGCTCCGAGGCCTGGAGAAAGCCCAGGCTGCAGAGCAAGTTGCTCAAGTACCGGGACACAATATCTGTGCCTCCACTACTGGATCTTCCCGGATGCCCCCACAGGGACTGCCGGATTCAGGCTGCTTACGGAATGTTGGAAAGATGAAGGGTGGCAGAAGGTGGAAAGATATTCTGGAAGTTCTTGGAGCCTGGCTTCTTGAAGCGATGGAGAGGAGAATTGTTGTAATCCTTGGTCAGGCCTTGGTCTTCCTGGCCTTCGCGAGGCAGCTGCACTGTCTGGTGTTTGGACAGAGTAATGCGGATGGGCTTTCCATGCAGCTTCTGGCCGTTTAGGTGGCTCATGGCTGCCGAGAGTCAAGAGGAGGAAAAACGAATTGGTTCGGGTTGCAGGCACGCTCAAGGCGGTGCTTCTGAGCACCTCCAGGCACAAGGGTCCCACACAGCTACTGCTTCCGACACCAGCCCTCCCAGAAGAAGACTCCCCTGGTGAGCCCGAGCAGGGCATGAAGCGGCGTCTTTGTGACGACTTCCTGCACAAAAGCAGGCTCCAAAGTCTTTAGCGCAGCAGAAGCCAGGCGCACTATGAAACTGTGTGATTTGTGGGAGGGGGCGTTCTGCACCTAAGGCAGTGCCGGCATTCACTCTGGGGCGAGTGTTGCACCGTCCTAACTCCTGCAGCCCCTCCATGGGGCTTTTGCGAAGAACAGGGAGACTGGTGCTTGCTTACCCAGCTGGGCCTGATTGCCGTCCGCCATTTGGACCAGGGCATTCTCCTTCTTATTGAACAAGATCTTCACTCTTTGCACATCACCGTACACTCCTTGGGGGGTGCAAGGGAAGGAGGGAAAAAGCAAACCTTCAGACACAAACCCCGTTATCTCTACCCAAACTCATTCCAGAAAACACCCGAACCCCGGATTGCTCACTCCACTTAAGCTGTTTTTATTCAGCTCAGGGTAATATTCTGATCAGCAACAGAGTAAGTGGAACAATCCTTAGGATGATTTTAAAAAACCACACCACTGGGCTCAGTCCATGAAAATGCCAGGTGCCACCAGCAGAACAGAGATGGACCACTTCACATTCCCTCTCTTCCTGACCTTCCCAACAGGCATGCAAGGCAACCAAAAACATGCACAGTGATGTGTAAGAAAACAAAGCACCAAACTCAAGTGGCAGGTGACTCAAGTACGGCATTCAACCAAACCACAACTCCCCACCCACCACAGCCACACTTGCCTTCCCCAAAGTAAAACCTCAAAATGAAAAAAAGGTAATAAAAAGTGCGAATGGTAACGTACCGAAAAGAATAAAGAGGCATTGGGGTGTAACTCTCTTTAGAGGACAGCAGAGCAAGGCAGCGGAGGGACAGGGAAGAGGTAAGGAATCGGAGGGGAGAGCGAAGTTTGCGCAAATCGTCGACAACGGAGGAAAGGTAGAGTCCCCGCAGGAAATGGCGAAATTGGTTGATGGATGATGAAGTTTTCAAGATGGTTAATATTGAAGGACAAGTTGGTTTCCGAAGAGCAGGAAGGTTTGGTTTTTTGTTTTGTTTTGTTTTGTTTTGTTTTGTTTTGAGGGGGGCATTTATATATGTGTATATATATTTGTTTCAAGCAACAACAGGAAGCAGAAGTACCGTGCAGTCAGTTGGCAAAGAAATTCCGGATCGGGGAGAAGGGGAGAAAAAAAAATATTGAGGGATGGGGTGGAGAGAAAAGGAAAAAGTAGCAAAAAACACAGGTCAGTAAATACGTAAAAGAAATATGTAGTGTTCCATCAGTAAAGATTTATAGATTTCTAAAACGTACAACACTTTGTTTTACAGGAAAAACTAGTTAATAGGTTTTTTTTTTTTTTTAACCTAGTGGAACACAACAATAAAAGAGGAGCACTTTACTTAAGTAAGGTATATCTATGAGAGAGAGGCAGCATTGCAGCTGAGTGACTTCAAGGCACAAAGGTCCAAATTCTGACCGTGTGAACACCAAGAGACTGAGGCAGACCCTCCGCAGCTGCAAGGAGAAAACTTGGGAAGGGCTTAAGGCAGTGCCCAGGCCTGAAGCGTCTCCCTTTCCCCACCCTGAAAAGCTCTTCAGACAAATGATGCCTGGGAGGAAGTGGCTGTGGGCACCAGCCCGGAAGTGCTTAAGCTCTCAGGTGGCATTTCAGGCGCTCCCTCCCAAATCTGGGGGCTGCACCGGGAGTCTCTCCAGGAGGGACTCTGACACATTTAAGCCAGCCTTAAACTGGCATCTATGGAATGGCAGGAATTTCACAGGAGGAAAGGGGGGGCTGCAAACACGTGGGCTGGCTGCCCCAACCCACTTTGTCTGTCCTGCCTTTTGGGCACACCCCACTTCCACCTGGACAGGACTGGATCCCCCATGACCCAGCTGGGACATTGCTAATGCAGGGTGGGAAGCGGGGCCCGTTGCTTCCCCTGGTGCAGCAAAAGCCACGTCTCCAACACCAAGCGCTCCTTCCAGCTCAGCAGGCCCTCCGTGAAGCAAGTGGAGGACGCAACAAGAATGGGCTCCTCAGGGGATTTTCTGGGGACCTACCGAGCTGGAACAGTCTCAGGTCCACTGTGGGCAACAACTGAGTGCCTGCGTCTGACTCTGTGGGTGCCCGTAGACTGGAGAAAGGGGACGGGGGCACTCCCCCAATCAGCCGCTGGCCACACAGGCTGAGGGAGGCAGCAATCTGTCAGCAAACCCAGGCTGGGAAACGCTGCCCTCGGAGCTCAAGAGCACCCACTAGAAAGTCACCCCTCTGACCTTACTTGCGCCGCAGGTTGCTGGTGCCCTCTTTTCTGCATTGAGAAGGAAGAACCGAGTTCCCTACAGGGATGGCAGGGCCGCAAACCCTCCAGCCAGGGTCCCGGTCCATCTCACACGCTCTGTGACTCAGGCCATCTGGCACTAGCTGTGGAAGGGACTGCCGGGGCCATTAGGGCAGCTCTCCAAGTTTCACAGGCCCTGTTGGTTCAACCTGGCCCTGAAGGCAAGGACACGCAGACCCCGGCAACAGGGCTTTTCCCTCTTCTGCTGACATGGAAGCTGTCTAGCCCCACTGCAAACACCAGCAAGACGTGGAAAAACCCACTTGACTAGGTACCTTGGCTGCCACTGTTCACTCAAGCTGCCCTTTCAGGGCTGGGTGCTGGGGAGCAGTCCCTCTGGAGAACACTGCCTCTTTCACTGCATTGCACAGATTAAGTTTCTATAACACTGATTATACAAGCAATGGAAAATTATAAGTTGGAGTCGTTAGTTCAGCTTCACTACAGAATATCACAGTTTCTAGCCCAAAGGAGAAGCTGGATGGATGAGCAAGTAAAAAAACATAACCACACACGTACATAAATGAGGCATGAAATCGGTTGCTCAGCAATCCTCACCAGGCACCAACCATGAGGCAGAAAGGACCCAATTCTGGCAGGTACAGCTCTAGGGCACAAGCAGCAGTGGGGAGTTCAGGCACGCTCTCCATTTGGCATCTTTCAATCATGCCCTCCTTTGAGCCTGGAGGTGCTGAATTTCAGGAGGCAGGCCAAGCAGTCCTTTTCCTCTTAACTGCCTTGTCCCCTCCTGCCACCAACTCTTTTCTCCAAAAGCCATTTTGATGAAGAAAACAGTGTGCGCGCCCCAAAATAGGCATGGCCAGGTTTGTGCCCATGTTGTCCTGCTGCACTCAAGCCATTATGAGTAGAGCACGGAAGCAGAGAATCCTCCCAGAATTCTGCTGACCAGGAAAGGGGCCGAATCTGCTCAGTACCTTTTGGTGAGTGTGGTACTGAATGTATGTATTCTGTACAGTAAACTGCCTAGAAAGCCATGTTTCTGATTAATAGAGGCTAGAAACATGAATCTTGTGGAGGTCTTTATTTGGAAAGAGGCTTGACAAAACCACTCACAGTGGTTGCCAGGATCCTAACCACCCATTATACTGAAGACCACATGGGAGCATGTGAGCATTGCTGGCAAAATCTCATGTTCCGAAGAGAACAGTTATAGTGGACAGAAAAAGGAATAGCAAAACAGATTAGTTGATCTCCTATTAAGCTTAAAATTGATAGCAATTCTCTCATCCATGCCTCTGCTTTGGAGCTTCTGATACAACTCCTGTAGAAATTCACCTTGTTTCAGGCACAAGGGTGCAAGCCATCTACACAACCCATGGTAGAGAGAAGCCCAAATGCAATTTGCACTTTGCATTATGGAAGCAGAGTTACACAGAAACCCAGTTCAAAGGCAACATGGGTCTCTTGAATTGCACCCTTGATACAGAAGATACCAGTCTTCAATTTTTAACATGCCCCAAATGTTTCAATTCATAAAGTGGAGAACAAGGTTAAATAGGATTGAAAATGTAAAATTATTCAGGAGTCAAAGAGCAGGAGTAGGCACACAACAACTTCAAAGGACTTTGGCAAAGGGGAATGCATCAAGGCATGGAAAAGGAAATATATATCTGCAAAAGGTAAAATGAGGCTTAAGCGGGCAGGGGAGGAGAGGGCGGAGACGCCCCATGAAGGGGAACGGAACCAACTCTGTCAACTCCAACTGAAGTGCTTACAAGTTACGGCATGCCAAAGGAGAAACTATGGGATTTCTGCCATTGTGAAGACGACCCAAGTAGAGGCAAAACTGTAGCAAGTGAAAGTAAGGCGGGAGAGTTCATAACGAAGACTTTTTGGAATTGTGCTTTGGCGAGTGAGAGCAGACCTGTAACACCTTTGGCTTACACCCAAGGAGGAGAAACAGGTACAGGCTTTTCAGCCATGGCCCTTATGAGTTATCTCAGGCTGCCGGACTTTCTCATTTTCGACACTCCCTTTCAGAAAGAGGAAAGGTTCCGCATTGTGATGCGCCAGCACAAGCGTCTTTTGAGAAGCGGTTCAGAAAGAAGTGAGATTGGAAAGTAACTAGAAGAAAGCAAAAAATACGAGATAGGCTGGACAGAAGAGACTATAACAAGGCTTCCACTAACCTCCGGGTTCAAATTGCTAACCAGCAGAACGGAGTTCCCTGCCCCGGTAAGGCCAGGAATACCCATCCGTCCTGCGGCAGCTGCGGCAGCGGCTGCAGATGGAATAGCCAAAGGAGCAAGGGCTCCATGTACATTTGGAACTGAGAGGCCTGGAAAAATTAAAGCATATTAACCAGTGCGGAAGACTGCGGCACTTTTTCTGCGACAGCGTGGGACAGAGGTAAGGCGCTCCGGCCCGTGTGTCTCCTGAGCACTTCTGTGCCCCTTCCACCCTCACGCAAGCACTCGGGGACTGTATGGGTGGACTGTTAATGGGCTGAAGTCTCTCCAAGTCTGGCATTGCTCGCAACTCTGCTCTCGACCTCTGATGGGCACGATGGACGCAGGGGATGCATTTTGCTCTCCTTGGGTGCTGGGCAGACCAGACATCTGGTTTTAACCGAGTTCTGCATAACTTTGACATGTTTATTAAAGCAAATTCACCATGAGGAGAAGCAGGCAAGGGGAAGACACACAAAGCGGTGCATTTGCCAGGTATTTCCACCAATGCATGCCAGAAGTGCCTCACTGTTTTATCATGCACAAGATATCAAAACACAGTTGCATACATTCCAATCATTTGCAAGGGGTACCCATCCCCCAGCTCAGGTATCCAGGCACTGGGCTCGTGTTGAGGCCCTCTTGCTGCTATTGGTTGCTGCATAGCCATTAGAAACACGCCAACCGCTTTCTTCTCTTGCACATCACCCACACTGGGAGATACTGTGCACCAGGGCAACCAATTTGCATGTTTCTATGGCATACAGAAAAGGAAGGAATATACTGATGCTTCCAGCAGGATTACTATAAGGGGCTGTCAGACAAACACTTCTTAACATAGTGTGCTGCATACCCTAGAAATGAAAGAATGTCAACCACATATGCTCCAAAGCAGCCTTTCCCAACCAGGTGCTTTTCAGCTCGGTCGCCCACCATCTCCAGCAAAGAGTCCAACCGAGCTTAAAAGCTACCAGGGTTGGCAAAAGCTACCACTGGAGACATCCTCACCAAATGCTGGAGTTGTGCTAGAATTGCTAAACGGGCAGCAATTTAGGATTATTAAGCCGCAGGACCTCTTATTCCTTTCTCCCTGGCTTCAAAGGCTTTAGCCAAAGCAGAGTTTCTCCCCAGGCAGAATTCGATGCTGCCGCGACCTGGCCACAAAACCGAGCTCTTTTAGGAAGTGGCATTATCAACATAAAGAGATGTCAGAGGGAAAGCCTTACAACCAATCCAAGCTGGGCTTCTTTTAACAAGGGCTCTTAGTACCTAGTACAAAACCTCATTAGGGGAAGAAATGCAGGGCAGTAAGGACTGAGCAAGATCATTGATTTGTTCAGTTTTTGTTGAGTGGGGAGAAAGGGGAGGCACAAGAGAGGGGCCCGGGGAAGGAAAGGTATCCATTTTCAAGCTGTGCTGCCTTCCAAGAATAGTCTCACCCTAACAACTAAAAACAAATTTGTTCAGAACTGCTTGGTTTAGGGGAAAATAGGGTATTTCAGAAGGGCAGAATGGGAGGAACTGCCAACAAGTCATCTCAGCCCTCTGGCCCAAAATCACTGGAGTTGCTGTGAATAAAGTGCGACCCAGAAATACAACCAGCTCTGAGGGCAAGGGAGGAGAGTTCTAACTATAATCTCACCCAGGGGGGCTCTGGGTCTATCGAAAGCCCATTTTGAAAGTCAAGAAGATTCATAAGGCAACTTGACATGGGCGGACAAGACCTTCATATGACTTTGGTCCTCAGATCTGTCTGGAACAGGTTCTGGAATTATGCTCCACGGTTTCTCAAATTCTATCCCTTCCCAGGTCCTCCAGTCTGTACGACCAACCAAACGGTGCGGGAGGGGAGGGGGAGCAGGCCAACATCGGTACAACAAAACCATGAACTATGACAGGGAAGGCAGCTGAGATTTGAAGAAACAGTACCTGCAGCTTGAGGAATGGCAAAAGCAGGAGGGAAGCCAGCCCCTGCGTAAGGCGAGGCAGAAATAATCCCTGGAGCACCTAGAGAGAGAGCAATGAGTGGTCACGCAGTTCATGAGGGCAAGAGGAGATTCACTGTCTGCAATAATTCATCTTTCTTACCTAGGGCTCAAATCTCTAACCAACTCACTGGATGCTTGACTGAGTTTTAATCACACCTTTTCCCTCCCCTGCTAAGCCCCAAGAAACTCTCCCAAGTTCAGGGCTCCAGAGCAGGAGACCAAACGCCTTTGGAAGGCTACAGCTCCATTCGTCACCACTGGTTACGCAGGTGAGGGGTGATGGATACTGCAGGTGTGAGGGGTGGGGGTCATCAGCTGCTCATTCTAGAGCGGAGTTTAACATCTTGCTCACAAGACTGGCGCTCTCTCTATCCCCAGGGAGCCGTCCCTTCCCATCCTGATTTGGCATTCAGAGGCTGAGCGCCTCAGAACCTGGAGGCTCCTGCAACCACGAGAAGAGTCCTGGACAGACCTTCTTGGGTTTGTCTACTCTCCCCTCTAAAGCCGAGGAGGGCAGAATCGCGTTTCGCAGAAGCTGTCGGGGAAGCATTCCCAGGGCAGACGGGGGCTTCACCAGACGTCTTCGATGCCGCTTCTGTCACCATGTGCCTCTTCCAAAGTGCCCTTGGCGGCCCTTGCTGCCGACATCCAGGACATATCACTAGGACATCAACTGGGCTCCAGCATCCCCTGGCCGACGTGCGGCAGATGCTCACCAAAAGCAGCAGCCATGGTCTGGTCGAGAGAGGGCTGACTGTCTCCAGAGGGCAGGTCGGGCCGAGTATAGTCTCTGCTCTTGTCGTTGTTATATTTCACGTTGAGACTTGTAAGCTTGGAAAAGTCAATGCGGAGTGTGCAGCAGGCGTTGTAGATGTTCTGCCCGTCGAGAGACTGCAGGGAAGCCAGAGCAGAGGACTCGTTGCATTGAAGCCCACAGCGGCGCTTTATTACAACGATTCTAGGCACTCCGGATGTGTTCAGTGCTCAGGCGTGCGGGCGCCATTTTAAAGGGCTTGGCCAGGGAGTGGCCTGCAAGGACTCCTATCAGACCAGGAGAGTGCCATGTTTTTCTGCCTCTATTAAACAGGCGCCATACTCACGCAAGCCTGAAAAACGGGGTTCCAGCAGGCCCCCCCCCACCAAAGAGGCTGCCTCCCCATAAGGCATCCTGGGAGGTGTCAGGAGTATGAAAGGGGCAAAAGGACACCCTCTTCCTGCCCCACATCAAGGTCTTTCTTTGTCGTCTTATACAGAAGTGGGGGAGGGCTATTTTGAAGAGCGGGTAAAGGAAAACATGCCCGTTCTTTCCTTCCTTCCAAAACATGCCTGCATGGTGAAGGGCAGGGATGTTTAACCTAACAGCATGCACCCCCCCACCCCTCGGTAATTACTAAGAGTTGGCATTTTTGTTTCCAACTGGCATCTTAATGTTCTATCTTTCAACCACACTGCTACTTTTTTTAAGACTGGCACCGACTTCCAAGTTTCTTAAGCTCAGATTTTCTCCGAGGAGACAAAACCATGTCCCAGGCAATGTTTGCTACCCACCCCCCACAGATTTACAAAGTCGTTTCTTGTGACACTTCCACTGGGCTCTGAAGGGGCGATGGGAACTCACCAGCTTGGCATGCTGGGCGCTCATAGGGTCTGCATACTGCAGGAGTGCCTGGAACTGGTTGTTCTTGGTGAAGGTGATTATTTTCAGCACCGTGCCAAACTTGGAGAAAATCTATACACACACAGGACAAGTTGGGGAAATCATACAAGGCTGTTTCAGAAGCACTGTTCCCTTGTGGCATTTTCTGCCATGCAGAGGAAAGGGAAGGAGTCCAAGTCACACTGCAGAGACAAAACACACCAACCTGGAACTGCAGCACTGCAATTCCGCTCAGAGGTGGCCTGTTAACGCTGCAGCTGCTGACACAGAATCCTGCACTTTGCCCAGGACACGCCCCATGGACTGCTTCCCTTGCAATCTGCAGGGTGCTGTTCCACGCCAGCTCGGGCTGCTGTAGATGGCGCCAGACGCAAGAGAAGAACCCCAGCTGCTTGGTGGGGGGAGTCCCACCCCATCGTTTCCTCCGGTGGGTGGTGGACTGAGTGGCTGCAGCCTGCCCTCAGCTGCCCAGAGCCCCCAGGTCTGGAGCAAATGCAGGGAAAGCCAGGCGCTTCGCTGGCAGAGGTTTTTGGGAACTCAGAAGCGTTTCCTGCAGGCAAGCTGGGCTCGAGAAACAGAAGAGCAGGTGAAGCCCTGGATGGAATCCAAGCACGGGCAGCTGACTTGGGAGCGGACTCTGGCATACTGAGTCTGGATGAGTGGCCTGCGGAGTGGCAAAGCCCTCCTTTGTAAGAGGAGTTAATGTGTCTCAGAGGTTACTATGCTCACCTAGGATGGAACCTGTGATCATGTGTTTTGGCTTGTCTTCACCACAAGCAAGCAATAGCGGCCAGGTTTAAGGGTGCCCCTCACCCTCCCACACAAACACAACTCCTTGCCTTGACAAGGACAAGAATTATGCCTACCTAGAAAGCAGAGAACAGCTCTGCAACATTCAGCAGCAATGCTGCTTAGCGACTGGTACCTACGGGCCAAGCAGCGACAGTGGCCAAGTTTAAAGTGGGCAGACAAAGCCCCAGCAGGTCAAGGTCCTCCCATCCTTGGCCTGAACCCACTCAGCCCACGAGACTGTTTACCAGAGCACAGCAGTGCAGAACCCTTCCGGCCCAAGCCCTGAACTGCCTTTCCCAGCAGCTCTCGGGGCTGCATTCCAGTGGAAAGTGGAACCAAAGGGGCAATGGGTGTGGCCAGCATACGACAGTTGGAGAGCGTGCAGAGGCTGCGTCCGTGAGCCACAGGAGCGCTCAGATCCACAGAACTGCAGCAAGAGGCCGTGTCCACCCTCACGGTGAGGAAAGCAGCCTTGCAATGGAGACAAGGAACGGGTGTTTCACGGGGTGGCGATGAAGCTGGTGAGGCCAGGATCTGAGCTATGCCGATACCTCTGCAACCTCCTCCCTCACTCCTGCTAAGAGGCAAAATGCCCACTGATTGGGCAGAAAATGTAGCAGAAAGCACAGGACAGGGAGATGGGGGCGTGTGAATCAACTTTGCACGGGGTGCTCATATGCCCCCCATTTTTTGAAGTTTACACCCATCCCTGTAAGATTAAAATCCAGAGCACCCACTGTTAGTAACCAGCCCTATGTAGGGGGATGTTGGACCTTTTGGGACAAGCACTGCAGGAGTGCTGAAAAAAACCAGTAACTGCTCAGTGGCTGGAGAAAGGCAAATGAAGCCAGGGTCAACAGAGTGGCCTTCTGGGGCTCCAAGAGGACTGCGCTGGCCCTCAGACCCAATGCTTTCCACCCCAATATCATGGCTGGTGTGCTGGGCCTGCTAGGGGAGTCTTAAGTCCGAGCTGTGAAACCCAACAGATGCCTCTGAGACAGGAATTGCAATGCTGCAGACAGCTGCAGCGAAAAGAAGAGGGCGTGTCACCCGCCTGGAAGAGGAAGGGGAAGATGGCCTGAGGCTCAGAGGGTGCTGTCCGGACACAGCAGCCTTCCTCAGGGACGTGCTGCCTGCTGTGGCCAGCGCTGCCACGGGGCGGGTGCTGGACCGTGCGGAAGGCCGCCCTCACCTGATGCAGGACGTCAAGGGTCACAGGATAGAAGAGGTTCTCCACAATGATCCTCAGGACTGGGCTCTGACCGGCCATGGCTATGCTGGCATCCACTGCGGCGGCGGAGGCAGAGAGCGCCAGGTTCCCAGACTGGACTGAGTTCACTGCTTGCAGGGCTGCCTGGGCGCGCTGCGGAGCCAAAACGTTTCCGTGCATCAGGCAGCAGGCGGGTGGGCAAGCACACTACCCTACTGTCCTTCTGCACCAACCCCGTTGCAATACTGAGAGCCAGCTGTGCCTGTGGCAAACAGACCCGGCAGTACTCATGCAAGCTACTCTCCACCCCAGGCTTTCCACTTGCTGAAGGGGAATGACCACAGCCTAAGTTCCAGGACTGTTGCCGGGGCAATGCGAGGTCTGAATGCTTTGCAGCGAGTGGCAGGGTGCGAAGCAGGGTTCAGGGCTTTGGTGTCAGAGTTTGGCACGGTCTCCCCCAGACCCACCACCAGGCCCAAAGCTGACGCTGTCGAGTTCCTTCCTGCGCAAAACCAAGCCACGGGACAGGGGTGAGAGCAGAGTGCCCGGGGATGCGGCAAAGCTGGACTCACGGCCTGGTTTGGAGAGTTGTCTGTCTTCAGCTCTTTATGGTTGGAGAACTGGATGTAGATGGGCTGGCTCCGGAGAACAGGAGTGATTGTGGTGTAGTAGCTCACCATGGTGTTAGCGGCTTCCTCCGTGTTCATTTCGATGAAAGCCTGAAAGGATGTTGCAAAAAGAGAAACGCCTGTGTACTTCTATGCACGAGCGCAAGTGTGCCTACCCTGAATGTCGCTGCTGAACCTATGAGCAAGCCGTCTGCACACATGGCCCCTTGCATCCCCAGTGAGAACTGTGACCGTACCTTGGCCTGCCTGAAGAAACAGGTTAAGGCACTTGGCAGGGAAGAACGCAGGCATTACATGCCATGACTGCCCTCTGACTTCAGAATTTAAATACTGCAAATGGGAAGCTGCTGACATGAACATAAAGCCACTTCAACCCAATTGCAGGCTCGGTAAGTCACCGGCCTAATTTTCTTACGTTCAAGCTCAACTTCTCTCCATGAATTCCACCAGGCTCCCTAAAATATGCCGAACTCTTTTTTGCAGGCAGGCCATTGGTCCAGTGCCAGCCACAGCAGACAGGCCAACTTGGCCATGGGAACAGCCCAGAGGGACGCGGGACCGGCTCAGCTGCTGTACTCCTCCTCCACCTTCACCACCCAAGAGAAACCACGTGGCTGCATCCTCAATTGTGCCCGAGCCGGTTCGCGCCTCTCGCCCATGGAGCCACAGCGCCTCAGCCACGAAGCTGGCTTGTCTCCTCCTGGGCGCTCCCCAGCTGGGGGACGTCTGCACGGAGCAAAGCACACATCCCAACTGAGGCACCGGCTAGAAGAATGCCAGTCGGAGCGTCGTCTTGGGGTGTCCTGCTGGGGCCTTTTCCCAACCCTCCCTGCCTTGAACCTGGAACTGTATGTATGCTAAAACAACGCCCAGCCACTTCAGAATCTGGAATGAAGCCAGACTCATGTGCTGCAGGTACCATTGCTCTAGACTGCCTGACTCAGAAACAGCAGGATATGCGAGTGCGGCTTCTGCACATGAGGGCCAACCCTGGTGTCATTTTTCAGCTCTGACCTTAATTTCCTCTGTGCCCTTGGCGTTCTCAGCGACTGCCTTCAGACCCACACATGCTGCAGCACTTCCTCATTTGACCTGCCCTCTTCTTCTACAGCCATTAAAAGAAATGTGCCTCCCCCCCTTTGATGCCCCATTGTCCACTACCCCATCCTGGATAGTTCTCAGGGTTAATCAACACGCTGAGCGCTGCTGCCGAAGCACCAGTAATATCGTATTAAGGCTCAAGGCTTCTCCTGCTGGCAACTATGACTCCAGGGAGGCTTTTCAAGCATGGAAGGGGGCGGGGGCTGTATGATGGCTATAATTCCATTATTGAGCTTGTGCATGGGAGAAGACAGCATTTCTTGGAATGGTTGGACAAGTCCTTTACAAGCTGCTGCAACCTTGTTTTTAAGTGGCATTATGTTTTGTTCTTATGTAGGCTGCCTTGTGTGGGTGAAGCCCACACAAACAGATACATGCTGTTTGAGTTGAAGGCTGAAGTTAAAGCTTTACAGAAGCTATACAATGCCAACATCTTTCCCCAGCCCGGCATCTTGCTAGATATGTTGCCTCATGATGTTTGTCACCCCCAAGAGATCAGGAGCGGCCATCCAACACATCTGGAGGAAACCAGTTCAGGGAAATCTGGATGATGACAGAGCAACAGTTGTTACGTTAAAGGCTCACATACCTGATTCTTTCCTTTTAACATGAGTAAGTTTGTGACCTTGCCAAATGGTAGCCCCAAGGATATAACTTCAGCTTCTGTAACATCACTTGGCAGTTTGCGGATGTGGATTACTCGGGATGGAACTCCTGCACTTCTACTGTCACCCTTGAATTTCTTGCTGTCATTCCCATTGGCTGGAATAAGATGAGGAAGGAATGGTTTGTATTTCTGGCCCGGTTTAGCCAGCCAACACAGAACGTGAGCTGCGTACCCACTTCACAGCTTCTGCTGCAAGCATATAAACGGCCATTTCCATTCGGACTGTTTCGTGATCCAGTTCTATCCCTCCATCAACCACCACTTAGACCTGTTGGTACGAGAGATCACACCACCTCTGCTAGCACCTTAATAGGGTCAACAGCTCGCACATGCCGAGTTCAGCACACGCAAGAGTGATTCACGAAGGGGTGGTAGGTATTGTATGTTGCATTTGTTATGGAGCGCTACAGGTGGCAACTGGAATGGGTGGAATACTTGTACAAGCGGCAGAGGTATCGAATATGCACAAAGCTCCCACAAAGGAAGTCCAGGTGTCTTGCCCCTGCCGCCAGAGATCCACTTTCTTCAGGGGCCCAGCTCTAGCCACGGCAACTTGTGGCTGGCCAAAGCAAAACAACTGGTACATGTAAGGGATACTTTAAGAAGGCTACAGGCAGCCTGAGAACATGCTGCCAGATGGTTTTTTGTTATGCGCCGTCGAGCCAGCTCTGACTTATGAAAGAATGCCCTCCAAAATGCTTCTGCATGACAGCCCCGCTCAGCTCATCCAAGTTCAAGGTTGTGGCTTCCTTTCTGGAGTCAACCCAGCTCTGATTTCATCTCCCTTTCCCCCACTGCCTTTGACTTTCCCCAGCATGCTGGTCTTCTCATGAGCAGTCCAAAGTAAGTTTCAGCAGCTTCACAGTGGTTCTACATTAACTTCTTTAACCCTTCCACTACCGAACAGGACTACTTCTTTTCCTTCCAAATGCAGCTGAGAAGGGGGTTGGCAGCACATGCTGTATCTCAGCAATATTCCTGTCCAAAGATTTTTAGACGCCTGCAATTTGGTTAAAAGTTCTTCCCCAAGTTGACAGCTACCATGTTCGGGTTTGTGGAGAAGCAGTTTTTTTGGGGTTGGCTGGCAGGCCACAACAACAGGGAGCCGGCCTGAAACCACATTCTTATGGAGCACTGCCTTTCCCTCTGCTGCAAAGCCCCTGTGTGTGGTTCTTCTAAATAGGATGGAGCTTTTACTATGCCAGCCCAGGCCAGTGCCAGGAATGAACCCCGGGAGCTGCACAACACACTGCTACAATGGCATGAAACCAGGAAGATGGCATTTTAAGGCACCGTTTGGTCCACCCATGTGTGACCTTTCACAGGCTTCTCAGAAGAGCCCTGGGAGTGCCACGCAGGGCTTCTGGGCGACATTCTGCCACACTACATTAACTAACAGCTTACCACAAACAACTAAGCGTTCAGATTCACAGGGCCACCCTGGCCCAAAGGCTAAGACAATGGAGACAAGATAATGGATTTTTTTTTAATGACTCTCCTGTTGTTTACCATCCAAGTGGCAAATGCCAATCCAACAGGTCTTTCAGCAGACATTCAAATACTGCAGCCATTACACTTAAGAGGGGGCTTTAAGTCAATTATGATTGCGGGTACCAACAGTGAGAGGGAGCAAGAAAAGAAGGCCAGCAGCCACAGCCAGCTCACCCACCCCAAACAAAGAGGCACCTTTCCGTTCCCAGAAGTCACAAATCTAGCATGCACACCATCCGAGCAATTTCCTGGGACTGGGGTGCTGGGATTTATGCCAACAACAACCCCTTCTACTAGGGTTGGCCCTTTCCTGATACTTTAAAGCTGTGCAGGATGCCACTAGCATAGGACCTTGCATGGGCCTCTAGACAGAAAAGGCCAGGGTATTATGTCTGAGAAGGGCTGCCTGCTGAAATCCACCAACAAATAAAGGACAGCGTCAACAGTGGCAGCTCCGCTGGGGAAGGCTGCTGTGGCCAAATCTTGCAGAGCAGCCTGGGATAAGCACCGAGGGAGGGGATCTAAATAAGGCAAGATGGCTGACCTCCACTAGGCCACTGGCCCCAAGGAAGTGCTGAATTCTCTGGGCGGGCAATGTTACCTGCAGAAGCAGAGTTGCTGCTCATGATAAAGGGTCCGTTAGTGACACAAGTAGAGAAAAGTTCGTCAGATCCCCGCTGGAAGAGAAACAAGAAAGGGAAAAAAGGTAAGTCGACAGCACTTTGCTAATTTCTACTTAGGTACTGTGGAAATAAGAGAACGAACCAGAATTGAAGTGGCAGAGAAACTGAGCAGAAGGCTGGGGAAAGCAAGGGGGAGGCTTAATTTTCCAACCACCCATTCATTCACCCACATGAAAAATCAGCAAAAGCATTGGGATAACAACAAAACAAGCAAGGGAGCACAACCACTCCAACCGTTCCAAAGACCAAAGGCAGAGTTTATTTTCCAAAACAGGGACTGCGATGCTAGAAACTGCCTTGAACACAAACAAGACAAAGTAAAGATGCCAGTGAAAGCCGACCAGCCTGACTTTAATGCCGCTGCTAAGCACAGCACCTGAAAGCTAAAGCTGTTTTGTTTAGAGCCCTTACATTTTGTTCACCTCTGGCATTCTTCTTGCTAGTTTCTTTCTAAGGCTCTCCAACCCTACAACGGATTGCTTTCTGGCTTTGCAATGTTACTTGTACGACAACTAAATATCCACCTGAGAACACAGAGGCATGAGTGCTACCAAGATGCATTGCAGGAACACCAACAAGACTGGATTGGCTGAAGTACCACAGGCAAATGCACTGAGGCTGCTGAACCAGACTGACTTCTGAGCAAATGTAAAGCGATCCTAAGGAGGCATTCAACTTTGCCACAAATGTGCCCTTGCATTTGAAGTGTTAGCTTTTAAGCTAGCACCACCTCAGGCCCAAGATCCAGTGTTAACCATGCTCCAAGGCAGCCAGCCCCCCTCCCCTTCCTCAATACAAGGCAGATTAGGGACCCACACAGTTTGCCTTGGAAGCAAGCGGGCAGGTTTAAGGAAAACAGCAGCCCAATCCCATGTGAAGCCACCAGGTTTTCGAACAAAGTAAAATACTACTGATGTTAACCCATCATTTCTTCAGGCACAGCGACTTGCCTACGGATCAAGCTGCTCCATAACTAAGTGCCAGGTCTTACCTGCCTGCTGTGAGACCTGGAGGTCAGAGATAAAATGTTCATGTGCGTATGAAACAGACCAAATATTTCTGAGCCTGCTCAACAAACACTTTATTACCAAAGTGCAAAGCCAGGGGAAAGTACTGCATTCACAGCTATAAAGGTAACATACTGAGATGACTACTGCAATACAGTCAGTGTGACTTTTGGAAGGCCTATTAACAACGCACTTGCCAGGTTGCCCAAGCCTACCCAAGTCGCTATGACAACTGGACTGCAGGTGGGATTGGCCTAACAGCCCCATTTTCCACTCAAAAAACTTAATCTATCTGGTTCTTTAGTTTGCTTTTGGAGTCTGGTAATAAAACACTGCTGCAGAACAACAGAACGGGGAAAGGTTGTGACATTCAAAAATCAAAGAGATATTCAGTTCTGAAAAAAAAAAAAATATTAGCCAGGATGGACAAGCATCTTTCCTGCCCTTTCAAAAAGAGATGCTGTTTTGCACACCTAAAGCAATAAAAATGCAGCTGCTGCCTTCTTCGGGAGTATGCTAACTATGTCATTACCTGAATTTCAGTGAGGGTGAATTTTCATTACAGTTCAGGATTCAGAACATGTCTGTACATAAGGTTAAGCACAAGCTGGAGAGAGAAAGCCACTGCATAAACTTAAACAAGCTGAACGTACACATAGCCCCCACTTGACTCTCCTGAGTTACCAGTCAACGGTGCCTTCAGCATGGCCAAAAGAAGAACCCTGTGGGACTGCTATCAGGCACTGTCGAATCTTAAAAGTATCACTGCTACTCTGCAGCACTGGGCTGGCATTACAGCAAGAGATGTGTGCAGTTGCAAGCAGGATGCCGAACTGAGAGTCGCAAGAGCACTGGCTTACTGATTCAGTTTTGTAAACACGGTCTGTAACAGGTGACCACGGACAACCTCGCAGGCCTATTGTGGCCCTACAGCCCAAGCCCCAGAAAGACCAGGCAGGCTCGAAAGCAAGCCTGAGAAAACCACCCATTCAGAACTTTTGTTAGTGCAAACCAGGAGCAGGGAACCTCATGCCCTCTAAATATCTGGGACTACAACTTCTGCCAGTGGCAACCCACATGGCCCATGGACAGAGATGGAAATCGTGGCTGTCGGGAATAGTGGGGGGAATAGGTCGTTTACCCCAATATAAAACCAGAAGCCCTTGCCTCCTTGATGGTGTAACCCCACGCAAGTTTAGACAGCATCATGTCAGCCTACCTCCAGCTGCACTTACCAGCTGAGGCATACCTGGAGCTGTGATTCTTTTCTGTCTAGACATGGATTAGCTTGTCTCCTTTGTGGCACAGTCCTGAATGCACTCTAACCATGGACTGGACACAGGGGACAGCAAACATTCTGTTACAAAAAATGCAGAACACACATAGCCAGTTTCAGGCGCTTTTATCAAGGGTGGCAACTAAGCCTTGACACAACTTACACTGCAGGTTGCAGCTCTGCCCAGCTGGAAGCACATTTTATTGGCTCAAATGTAACACTGAGTTTGAGTGTTGGCTGTCCCACTCACGTTTTAATGCACAGCAAGCAAGGAAACTAAGCACCAGCACAAACCAGGAGCAGATCTCTCTTTAAAAAGGACCACATGCAGAAGTGTATCTGGGTCTTGTGCAATTCACACACACTTGGTTGGTGGTCTTGAATGCAGGCTGCAGGGCCATTCCAATCATATACAAGACTGGGGCAACAGTCCAGATGATGGGAGATATTCAGATCTGATATGCTAAAAAAGCTTGAATAAGACCACTAATGGGCATTTTAACTGCTTACAGAAAACTGGCCCGGATATTTTCCTCAAATCCTTCCCACCTGCAGCTCCCGTGTATCTATACTGCTCCATTTTCTGGAAAACAATTTCTGGCAGGATGCTTCGGTCAACTAAGCAACTGTTTTTTTCTGGGTGGGCTGTATGCAAAAGTAGCCTGGAGAGCTGTGCACTGATCTCCCAATGGGTGTGGGCACACGGAAGGGCTGGCATAAAGGCTGCCCTGGGCACCAGTCTGCAGGCATAGATTTGGAGAAGGTAATTTCATATATCCTCCCCAACCCCCTTTCCAAACAAGCCCCATTTTGAGACTTCTAAGCTTTCTTCCCATCCTGGATACTACCCAAATGTATCAGTTGGAGACAGCAAGAAGCTCAGAATGACAATGTCTCTAGCATTCAAAGGCAGGTTTAATTCCCCCCCCCCACCTTTTATTTAAACAAAACATAAATACAATTGAAATACAAGAACAAATTCTTTAAGATATATCAATAATATTAGCATCTCACTTAACAATGAACACTGTGCACCCACTCCCCAGGAGACCAATTGATACAATATGTGAAATGAAATGGAAGTAACAATTAACAGTATATAATGTACTTTAATTATACCCCATCCCCTCCAAAAATTCATATATATAGTCCTGTTTAGGCTTACAGCCTTTCCCTTCCATCAGTACTACTTTTACAAAATCTTCCAATATTTCATATTTACTTTCACTATCCCTTTTTGGTTTTCATTTCTGTAGTCAATTTATGATTAACAACCATATTCCATATTTCATTGTACCATTCCTTCCTTTGAATAACCCAATTCTGTTTCCAATATTTAACCAGAACTAACCTGGCTGCCATTATCAAATTTAGAATCAATTCTTTCTTCGCTTCACTTATGTCTTATTTTTCAATCAACAACAATAACACTATTCTTGGTGACATTTCTAAATTTATGTCTAAAATTTCTCTAATTTCATTGAACACCATAGCCAGGCAGGTTTAACTTAGCTTCCAGAATGTGCTACAAATACATTCTTGCCTAGGTCAAAAGAAGGCATTCCAGCTAAGGCAACGACAGAAAGATTAAAAGCCGTTGCCTTGTTTATAATGCTGAAATGTTATGAAATGCTGAAATGAAATAACTTCTGGATTGCTACCTGACATTAAATTAATTCACCGCCCACCAGCAAATACTGGAAATTAGTTCCTCTGGGAAGACACACAGCTTCTCAAGACAGCTCCTGTATTGAACTCTTAAGGTCTAGGGCATTCAAAGAAAGCTGTGAGGCCACTCAGTGGCCAACACTCCGCTTGGGCCACAGGTAGGTCCCACCAAAATTCACAGCACTAGCCAAGCCAAAGCCAAGCCAATTGCTATGGATGCATAAAAAGCCAAAATTTAGCCTGAAAACTAGCCCTACGCAAGTTCAGCAACAAACAGCTGGTGTTTGGTTGTGCTGCTCTGGCCAGTTTCAGCAGTGCAGCCACAGGAATACAGCCTGTGCGGGTGGAAAATGGATCCCCAAAGACTTGGTGACAGGACCCACAGGAGCTTAAGGGGTTTCTAGCTCTGGATGAGGCTGTTGAAAATAAAAAGCACCTCCCCTTCCGCTACACCATTCTACCCCGAGCTTCCAAGTGGCCATACAAACTGGCATTTGTAACTTAAACTTGGAGCCTCACCTTTCAGATCCATCAAGCGATTAGTGTCACCTTCCCCATTTAATATAAAAATATTTTGTTCGCTGAAATGCTACCTCTGAGGATCTAGAACCCAGTGGACAATCCCAATAGTTAATGTCGTATGAACAGCCATCCACTCCCCCAGCTCTCAAAATTAATGCCTCAAACAAGTTAAGTAGGCTAAGTAGGCTTCAGGGAACTGACTCACTGAAGACATTTGATTTAATTTTGTTTGCCCAGAGCAAACAGCAAGGAGGTGGTAAAGGCGCCTCATTTCAATCTGGAGGCAAACAAACAATTTTCTTTCTTCTTGTTAAGGCAGCCCTGCCCACACTCTCTTCAAAGGCACACCAATTCTGGCCGTTTGTCCATAATGCTGTCGACAGCGCCCTTCTTGGGAGACGCTGCTGATAGCTAATAGTTTTGGCATTTCCTCCGGACGCGTGCAACGTGGCCACTCAAACTGGACATCACTATGGTTTGCTAGAGCCCTAGCAATGAAGTCAGGACACAGATGGAGTTTCGAAACATGCAGGCAAACTGACCTACAGTGACCTAGAGGCTTGTGATTCCCAGATGTTCAGGAAACTACAATTCACAGCTGCACCTCTGCTCTCATTTCCCATATGGACCACTCCTGTGACTGCACCACAGCTCCAGTTTGTCAGTGGAGATATTCAAGCAAATGGACTTAAGCTTCCCGTTATCACACAAGTTCAGCATAGTGTTTGAACTCTTGGGTGCTTCTGGAGCAAAGCATAGCTCCTTTGCCCCTCCCAGACAGAAAGAACTTCACCAAGTGCCTTTCTGAGAGTCTCTGTACAACACCTTAACTTCCATGGGATACCTATTCCCCTTCACTTGTGTGGAGAAGTACAGCACACTAATTCCCATAAATAAGGCTGTACATGATAGAGTAGGAAAACCACATCGGCCATCTGAAAAGGTACAAAGTCTGTGTTTCTCAGGACACAGCTGGTCAGCTTCTATCCCTTTCATGAAGTATTGTTTGTGCTTGGAGAGGCATAGTAACACAAAGTCTTACTCTTATAAGCCCCAGATTCCTATGGAGAGAAGCCATAAACTGACTCCCCTGCTGAGTGGTTATGGGGCGTGTGGCTACAGTTAAATAGCTCAGAATTCCTGACTTCAGAGTAACCCAGTTAAGCAGTCATTCTTGTTTGATAGGGTAACTCCATACCCAGGCTAATTACCATCGGCATTTACAATTATAAAGGTACCACATGATTCCCACCCAAACAAAATCTAACAGCTTTACTGTTCTGGTGAGGACAGCACAGCATCTCAAGCCCAGTTTTTGTTACACATGAAAAACCAACGCTGCTCCAACTGCCATTAGCAAGTGCTCAGCATGGGTTCAAGTGTCCACTTGAAAGTGAATGACCATTGATGACCAGGCACTTGGAGACTGGCATGAGAACAAGGCAGCAAGTGTGCAAAATCTGGAATGGCCCACAATTCATGGGGTGCAGATTCATTCAAATTCAAACCCCACCTGCAACTGGAAAAGGAAAAACTAAAACTTGGGCCTGTGGAAACATTTGAATTACACTGTGACAAAGAAAAGGAACCTGGCCTCCATCATCCGAACTTTGCCTCTGAATGGATTGTTTTATCTACTCAGCAACCTTTATACTGTAGAAGTTTAAACTTTATAAGGGCTATAAACTTGCAATTTGCTTTAAAATGGAACGATGATGAAGAAAGTTCTCAGAACTTTCAGAATAATTTCAATTTCAGAGCACAGCTGTAGTAACGGATAATCTGAAGAACTGTTCTGCTTTGCACAAGACTATCTTTTAGAGATTAAGATACTGTGCTGTACGAACCAGTGACATTTGAAACTAGCCTGCTCTAGGAAGGTAAGCATACTGCAATTTATCACAGCAGGTGAGTTGCTCAACGCAGTCTAAGTATCACTGCAAACACAGGGCAGTGGTGGTGGCCAAAAAGGGGGCACAGCTAATGCTGTATTGCACAGGACATGGGGGGGGGGAGATCCAGGGAAGATAACGTGCCTCAAGCCTCCATAGACCTTGGCTACTGGTCTACGAACGAACAAACAAACAAACAAACACTGCACTCAAAACCCTGGATGGCCTGCAACAGGTTGACCTTGGGAACTGTCCAGAGGCACCTGATGCTGGCCAGGCTCCCTGGAGGGGGCTGAATGCTACAGCCTTGGTTCTGGACAGTGAGTGCAGGAGAAGGAACATAGGAAGGTGGGGCCCATGGGAAACTGACCTTCAAGCAGTGCTCAGGCAGGCATGGCCATGGGGAGAAACTGCCAATGTGGTCTTATAAAGAGGCTATCCACTCAAGGAGCTCTCACATATGGGTAAACCGTGCAGATCAACAGCAGCACCCAGAAAACCATGCCATGCAAAACCACACTGTGGATACTGCAAGAAGATGCGCCTGACAGAGGAAAATCCGACAAGGGTGTTGCAAAGGATGAAGCCAGGATACCAGGCTGACATCTGAAAACACCGTAGCTGCAACACAACAAAGTTCAGCTTTGTCCTATGCCTCATCAACGCTGCAAGGATAGATGCAGCTCTCATGTTTTTGCAAAAGCAAATCAGGAAAGTTTCTCTTTAGACAACCATCCACTCTTAACAAGGATTCCACTGTGTGACTGCTGCAGATGCATTCAAAAAACCCAAGAAGTGGGAAGTTTTGCAGAGAACAGAAGTCTCCTCACATGTAGGGCAATGTTAGCAGCATACCCTACGTGTTTTTCATATTTTCAGACTGCGGAAATGCTAGTCGACATCCCTTTGTGTCGGCACATGTGGTTCACAGATGCAGCAAAGCCTGCTGCAGCAGGCCCACCAAGAGCCAGCTTGTTACAGCCTTTGAACTGAAGATGCAAGCTGAGGGTTGGAATTCCTTCTCTCGCATTCCTGGCCCGTGGCCCAAAGCCGTAATTGCTGTTCCCATGGCAAAGATCCTGGCCTCCCTACAAAACCAGGTCTATCCAGCCAGGCAAACCAAACTGCTCTCTAACAGGGCTTCCCAAGCTTGTTGAGTACAACTGAAGTATATTACAGAGTCTGCACCCTTTCTGTAGCAGTATTCAGGCATTTTAGTGTCATATTACCAGTGGAACAAGTTTAGGCACAAACAGGACAGGTTAGGGTTTTTTTTCAATCAGTGTTTGAAAAGTACATTTGGAATTAGAATATTTGGGAATATTTTATATTCTACCCTGATTATAAACAGCAAGGACAAGTAAAACCTAATTCCTAGCTTAGGCACAGGCAAATATTTTAACAGCCACCTCATTTTCTTAGTGCTGGGCCAGAGTAGAGAAAATGGAGGCACCATCCACAAATATTTGCACACCTGGGAACTTGGGTACCTTGGATTTTTTCCAGGCCCTCTCCTTGATCCATCTACCCAAAGCCAACACCGCTTTTTCTCCTTTGTCAAACCTGGGCCCATCCTGTGGGCCTCTGGGCTGTACAACTCCCTTGCCTTCAGATGGAATTAGAACTAACTTCCATGGACTAAGGGGCCTTGCTAGGGGGACCTTCAATAGACTAGGGAGCCTTAAAATTCTCTTAAAATTCACAATTAAAGGGAGAACTTGTAAAGTTACCAACACATTAAGCTATAGGTAACCATCTCTCCCAGCTGAATTTGGAGTGGGATGCAGCTTATTAGCCTTTAAATTCCTCTAAGTTACAAAATTCTGTCCTTAACTATACCTTCTCAGTTAAACCATCAATTCCCTTTATATTTCCCCAGCATGTTTTTATCTTACTAGCCTTTCTGTAGGTAAGTGTGTTGAGGAAAGGTTTTATTTAAGAGCAGAGCCAGGGTCACGTGCCGTGTTACTGTACCCTCTTTCATTTTATAGGACTCTGTGGTTATTTAATCTGTTCCTAATTTAATTAATATTATAATTTTTCTATGAAGAGTATATTCTTGGTTTTATACTGTTTCATTTCCATTAATGTGATATTATTCTTGGTTTTATTTTGGGATTAAATCTATAAATTTTGGCTGTGTATGCTATGCTTTAAATTTTTAATATGTTGTAAACCACCCTAAGGGTCATTGACTAAATAGAAGCAGTATAAAAATGCCACAAATAGGGTGACTGACCATTTTAACCTGTAAACCAACTCTCCAAGCATCAAGGTGCCTTGTTATCATACAATTGTGGAACACTATAGAAGTTTCTATGACATTTTAATGTAAGACATTTAATAAGACATTTCTATCCTGTCCTTCACTAAACATCTAAAGATGGCTTTCAAAACATATCAACAATAAAAATACCGTCCATAATATGAAAAGATAATAAATACAATCAGTAATAATACCATCAAGTTAAATCAAGAATAAGCAAAAATGAATGAATCACATTCATAATAAATAAACAAGTTAACAGTTGCATTTTATTTTAATTAAGCATCTAAAATCCCTAATTCTGAAAATGATGGTTAAATAAAACGGTTTTCACCTGGTGTCAAAAAAGAATATAAGTTCAGCGCCAGGCAAACCTCTCTGGGTAGTGCATTCCACAGTCTGGGCACCACCACAGAAAAGGCCCTACTCAGGGTAGATATCCTCTTTACATCCTTCAAGGAGGGTTCCAGGGGCAGGGCCTCTCCTGCAAGTCTTAAGGGACGTGAGGGAATACATGGAAGGAGACGTTCCTTCAGGTATCATGGTCCCAAGCTGTTTAGGGTTTTATAGGTTAATACCAGCACCTTGAATTGGGTCCAGACTTTAATTTGGAGCCAGTGTAGCTGGTAGAGGACTGGTGTTATACGAGAATAATGACTGGTCCCCTTCAGTAACCTGGCAGCTCTATTTTGTACCAATTGAAGTACCCAGACAGTTTTCAAGGGCAGCCCCATGTAGAGCACATTACAAGAATCCAGGGCATGTGTCACTGTTGCTAGACAGTGCTCATCCAGGTAAGGACACAATTGTTGGACCAGCTGAAGCTGGAGGAAGGCGCTCCTCGCCACTGCCGTCACCTGGGCTTCCAGAGACAGCTCTGGGTCGAGAGCACTCTTAGGCTGCAGACCCTGTCCATGCATATTCTTTGTCAAATCTCACCGATGTCAGCTCTAGAATGAAGATATGTCCTTGGAACTGCATGTTTCAAGGGAAGCTTGAGAGTGAGTACATTGTTTTTCTGCCTTTACAAATCTTGCCCAAGGAGCCTCGAAGGAACTCAATTTCCTAGAAGCCAGCTTGAAAGCCAAAAGGCCATTGTTCAAGCACAACTGTGGTGTGACAACTACTGTATAAGCTTATACCACATAATGGAATCACAAAGAGCCAGTGCTTTAAAGCAGCATGTATTTGGGAATGTAATGGCTTACAGTACAAGACATTTGCTGAAACCAATTAGCAATTATCTTAACCAAGAAAGATAAGTACCTACCTTTGTACCAACTGTTATATCTTGGACAATGCTGTAAAGGAAAGGGTTACAAAATTAGTTTGCACATTTATCCAGCACTATTGACAGAAAATACACACTTTTTAGCAAGATAGATTTGTATGCTTTAAAAGGATACAGGGAACAAACAGCCAAGTGTTCAGATATTTAGGAAACTACATTTTTTTCAAACACAGGACGTCTATGATGAGGCAAGGGTCTGATGTTCCCAAGAATGACAACTGACTTTGGAGCACTTCCAAGTCAAAGGACAGATGTGCTTCATGCAACTTGAGTCCATAAAAGCTACATCGTGACATTTATCCCCTCATTAAGTTAATCACTGCAAGAGAAACTTAATCGCTGTGAAAACAGAGTCCCGCAGCACCAACGACTAATGAATTACTCTGAAATAACTTTTTCATGGGCTACAGCTCACTTCATCAGATGCACAGAGTATTATGGAGTTTCAGGTACATATGGGGTAGGGGAGGAGGAATCATCAACAGAAGGAAATTAAATGATGACAATGACAGGCTTCTTATTGCTAGCAGTAATTCCAGAGCCACCGTTGCTGGTAACAAACATCCTGGCACTAGGTAAGGCATGCCAATTAATACATGTGGTATGATAAAAGACCTTTCAAACCTTCCACAACCTGGGGCTCTCCAAAAGTTTGGACTGCAGCACCCAGAATTCCCAGTCAACGCCCCGCTGAAACTGATCATGGTGAACAAAGCATAACCAGACCTGTTTCAAGCTGGACTCCTAACTCCATCCTGCTCTACTGAGTAGAGAAGTGCAGTATTTCAAAGGCATCTTTAAAATATGGTCCTCTACTGCAAGCAAGCAAACTCAGAGAATCTGGCTGGAAAGTACAATTAACAGGTCTGGGCCTATCACCTTCCACCTCATGCTTCCAGGAAAGTATGCTTCCAGTCCAAGTGCCTTTCCAGCCCCAACAGTGGAGCTTGCACTCCGCAAGCCCCTAGTCCACTGGTGCTCTAATTCTACCTTCCTTTCTCAAGTTCCCAGTGCTGCCAGAGGGCACAGCCCCCTTTGCCATTAATGCCACCTCAACAACTACACCAAAAGCCAACCAGCACCATCTTCCCCTCAATACTCTTCCTTAGGCTTAATCAGCTTGACTCGCTTCCTCCAATCCGTTATGAAGGTTATGACAAAACAGGCCTCAAAATGGACAATCCTCCCGAGTACACAAAACTCAGCTTACCGACTGCTTTGCAAAGGACATTTCCATTTCTGATGCTAATCCTTCACAGATGAGTCAAACGTCATTCATCAAGAGGTTAAGGTAAGCATTAATTTACTACTTCCCTTGCTCATTTGGGTCAATTAGTTCCAATGTGTTAACATTAAAGAAACCAAGCAGACCCTACATTTATTCCCAGCTGCCTGAATGTTTCTTTCTTACGTCAACCTCTGCCATGTCATCACAACCCCAGCTGTTCACAGCTGCCACTCCATTTGATTCAAGAATGGCTGCAACGGAAGATTCATTGTTACAAACCATTACTAAAAAAAAAAAGCTCTACTAAGAAACACAGGATTTTTTTTTAAATCCCCACTTGTGTTCAGAATTGCCAGAAGAAACAGATGGGTTTTGTCGAGATCTTGAATGCAAACTCAAGCGAATTAATTAGACCCATCTGTGTCTTAGCACCTAAGCCCAACTAAAGAATGGTGTACAGTGTCCAAATTACAGAAGGAATGATTTACAGCATGGGTCCTCAAACTACGGCCCACTGCCTGCCTCCCCCATGCACATGTGGTGGGGGGGAGGAAGGTGGTGGCTTGCTCAATCAGAGATGGTCTGTGAGTGAGCAAGCCACCGCTGCACTTGCCCGATGCCGCTTCGTGTGCACCTGACAGCACCAGCCTGCACTCACAGGTACCCCCACCTCACCGGCCCGCCCATGTAGCCATGGCCTTTCAACTGGCCCCCTATCGAAAAAGTTTGAGGACCCCTGGTTTAGTGTCCAAATTACAGAGTGAAAGCACTCTCCTTCAATTCAGAACTGGAATGCTGTTTTGCTCCAGTTAATCAGCAAGAGGAAGCTCACAAGGAAAACAACCTTCAGAGGCCTGCTCAAAAGCCGTCTCCGCGTACAAGCATTCCCATTTCCTGTTACAGAGCAGGAGGGCTCCTACAAGCAAAATGTAAAGAAACAAACTTTATTTGGGACAATTTGTTTAGTGACCTATTTTAAGGAAATGGGTTAGGTTTCAAAAAGCCTAACAGCTACTGCTAAGAAATCAAAGTTAGCCATTTAGACAGTGTTTTCAGTTTGTGACCTTTCTGCCATCCGCTCAGTGAAGACCCAGTTTTAACAAAGTTTTTATCTGCTCTCCAAGGCACATAAGCAAGTTCAATTAATAGACTTTTTCTCCTGTAGGATGACACACTTTGGGGCACAAGTTATGCAAATGAAAACTGTGCCAGGCTCAGGAGCTCCGAATACATCCAAAGCCGTGGTTCAGCACCTTAACAGGCAAGAATATTAAATGCAAGCTAGCAAGAAAGTGAGTAACATTTCCAACAGGATTTGATTCCACATTTCCCCTTAGCAAGGCAGAGAGTATCACTTACATGTGGAAAGAAGAGTGACCCAGAAACAAAGGCAGATCTGTCATCAGTAATCACTTATTTAGGTCTTGCTTCTCAACTCAAAGGACAGCAACTGTACCACATCTACAACTCTTTCCAGTTATTATTCTGCATGAGGCCGGGGGGGGGGGAGAATAGTACAAGAATACCTCTGCAATTTCTTCAGATTATAGCTACTGTCTGATCTTTCTCTCCAATAAGCAAGCTTCTGCTTAGCATCTCTAGCATTTTAAGTAGCTCTATGTCTAAAATCGCCACTAATTTCTCTAAGAAAGTGGTGGGCTGCTGCAGATGGAATCTTCAGTTGGTTATTTAAAATTGGCTGCCTTTCCATGTGGGGAACACTTAATTGTTAAGTTCAAGGTCACCTATAGATGACTCTGGATGGAAAAGTAAAGTCACCTCTAACATAAGCCAGCCTACACACCCAGGTAACAAAGCCCCACCTATGTGATCTTGCAGGGCAAGCCTATGTTCTCATGCACAACATAGGAGGAAGTGTTCGCCTTCCCCTTTCATCCAATGTACAAGCGGAAGCAGTGATGGCAGAAAACAGCAGCCCCCCACCTGCAAAGTATTGCTGTAATGCCCAGAAAAGCAGAACTTTCCTGCCACCCAGAAAAAACTGCAGCAGGCGATAACGCAGAAGGTACAACACAACAACACATTGAATCATTTTATTATAACAAAGCAAACAAGTAAAGGAAGGGGCATACCCTGGAACATTTTCAAACAAGCACAGAGGTGTGGTCGTTAGGGCTGCTTCCATTTCTTTAAGCAAGAATCACTTTTGCCACAGAACCCCACCTTCCTCTTTGGCACTGCAGTAGGGCCTTTACAAGAGGAAGGCCAGATTCCAATAAAAAGGGCTACATGGGGGGTAAAAGTGCTTACATGGATGGACCTGACAGGAAAGTCTTCTCCAAGTATAGCACTCAAAGTGTTACAAGGTTATTTGGAAGATGGTTCCTACAACACATTTTGTAAAATGACTGAGTATTCAGGAATACTTCGGTCAGTAGTATGGAGTCTGAAAGAGCAGGTATCGCCAACTACTGCTGCATTTTGTCTGCAGAAATATGAAATATATGGCCACTGCACAAGTAATGAAAAGGAGGAATATTTGTTAATTGAACAAAGCCAATAAATGGTCTTCAGGAAAGCAGGGAAATCAGGAATCTGAAACAAGTGAAAACAGTTAAAAAGGTCCTTGCCCCCAAATGTGAGGAGGACAACATAAGTGATTAGGGAAAGAATTTGTGAAGGAAGCAAAGGGACACTTCAATCCATAGTAATGGAAGGAAGTAACTTTCCTGCCCATCCCCCCACCACATATACTACATAGAGAAAGAGTGAGTGGGGAAGTTTACTTTGAACCAGGCGAATGGGACCCCTGCCCTATTATGAGTGGACATTTAAATGAGGAGGAAGTAAAGCTTCATCAGACTTTAACCTTTCTCCCAGTTTGTGCACATTTTCCCTTTCTGCTTGCGGCCATAACACACCCTCTTCTCAGCAGCAAACAAAAAGATTTCAAAGGGATGGGTGACAATCACTTGGCAGCCTTTTGTCTATACCGACAAGTCACCCTCGTACCTGTTATAAAACTGCCAGAAACTATGCAGAAGCATGCTGCTCCCTCTTTCCCTTGGCACAAGTGTCTGAGCCCTTTCTCGCACGTGTTCGTGGGCCTTTTGTCACTTCCTGCCTCCCCCACCAAGCCAGCCACTTCCTTCTTTTTTTGGCTCGCTAAGCGAGGTGGGGGGGGGGCGGGCGAGGCAGGAGGCCTCGGGGAAGAACGGCCCCTGGGGCAAGACCAGGGCGTCCAGAAAAGAGGAACAAGGAGCAGAAATGGGGAAGGAGGGGGCGTGGCCAGGAGCCCCGCCCGAAAGCAGAACTTCGGGCGCGCCCAAACCCCTCGGGAGAAAGTTACCCAAAACCGGGAGGGGGGGTAGGTTGTAATGGAGCAGTAAGTTTCCACTCCCTCCCCCTCCAGAGTGAACCACCCGCTGGCGGAGGGGGGGATCAGGGGAAAGTTTCAGAGCAGACCCCCAACCCGGCTGAGAGTGGCCCACCGCCTCCAGGGCAGGGCGCCAGGTTGGAAAAGGCTGGCTGAAAACCTCGCGGGCAGCGAGAGGCACGTGCGCGCGCAGGACGCCGCACCTGGCCGGTGGGGCCGCGCCCCGCAAACGAAGGGGGGAGAATGGAATGTCCACGGGGGGGGAGGGGAGCGCGCGCGCGATCGCAGGCGAAAGTCGAGCGGGGAGAGGCGCGAGCGGGCGCGCGCGGCTCGGAACGCCGGGAGGGGCGTTCGGGCGGGCGGGCGCGCGCGCGCTTCCAAACTTTTAAAGGCGGCGGGATGGGGGCAGCGCTGACTGGAGCCTTTGAGAAAGGGGTGCGGGGGCGACGCGCCCCCTTCCCCCAAGCACAGGAGAGCGCCCGAGCTTTTCAGCCCCGGGAGGGAAGGAGCCCAGCTTCGACCTCATTTCTCCCCCCACCTTCACGAGCTTTTAGGACCGCCCCTGCCGGGAAGCCGACGCGCGGCCTCGCTTCCCCCGCCACGCGAGGCGGTCCGGCTGGCTCAGGGACCCGCCGGCATAACTTCGCGTCCACCGAGCCCGCCCCGCCTCTCCGCCCGCCACCCTGCCTCATCGGCTCACCCGTCCATGGCACACGAAGGCGGCCCGAAGGGAAGCGGAGTGCAGGCGCTGGAGTAGCAGGAGCGAACCCAACGGCTACGTGTTATATAGAGTCACAAAATGGCGGCGAGGACAGGGGCCGCCCTTTGCTCCCTCTCGGCGCTGGAAATCTATTGGCTGCCTGGGCTGTCGGCTTGACGAGGCGGGCCATTGAGTCGCGCGGCATCGGCGAAGAGCTTTCAGGGGAGAGCTGTCACTGGCTGAGGCTAAACGACGGGGGCGGGCCCAACCTCCGGCGCGCGGCTCGATTGTGCACCGCGAAACGCGCGGGGCCATGCCGAGAGCGGGCAGTGAAGGCCGGGCGGCGGCCATCTTAGAATAGGTGGCTAGTGGCGCCTCGTCCGTTTTGAATACGGGCTCCCCATTTACCAACATTGTCTCGGAAGGCCATTTTGGGTATGGGCAAAGGGATCCCAAAGGCACCTCGTGTTGAAGCCTGAGCTGAATCCCTTGCGGCCATTCTGAAAGATGGCACCACTTTGTCTTAGCCAGTGCAAGCCGTTGAGGGATTCCCAAAGCGAAAATTGGTTGTGGAATCAATTAAAAAGAAATAGAAGGGGCGTTACCTGACTCAGCATTCCTCACAAAGCCTTCCTGCATATTTTAACGCTTCCTACGCTTGATCTGTTGGAGAAACACAATATATATATTTAAAAATAACGAAATAATCATGCATTCTTTCCTCTGCTGTCCCCCCTATGTACAACTTGAGCCGTAAACACCAAGGGGTATTTTGTTTTTAAAAAATCCACACACAGGCAGAGTATTGTTCTTTTCAGAATTAACTTCTGCTTTTAAAACTAATACCTGAAGCAGTTTGCAGCTAAATAAAGCACTCCATGCAAAATATATTTTTCCATATCCTGTGTTCAGATGGAAGTTTCCAAATATGATGTGTTTATATCTGTCAGAGATTTGTGGGGTCCATACATACCAGTTGCAGTGTCCTAGCTGTGCAAGTTTCAGATGCCCCATTTCTCAGCATGGTCTTGGAGGTGGTGGCACCATGCTAGCTCCTGCCCAACTGGAATGCTATTAAAGGGCAGAAACCACATTGGTCACTCTAGTGGGTGACTTAGACTGGAGAATGGGTGGTGTGGCATGATCCTATGGTTCCAGTATTGTGGGGAAAATCCAAATAAATCCTGGTAGAAAAAGGTTCCTTACATGTGCCTTTGTGTTATAAAATCAAACCTGCACCTCTTTCTGAGCAGGTTACTGTTTAGCATTTGCTGTTACTTTAAGAAGTTGGATTTATTTATTTATTTAGAATTTTTGTATCCCGTTCCATCGCAAGAGCCTTGGGACGGCTTACATACAATAAATAAACAATACAGATAGTGCAAATTAAAATCCAGATTCACCCTGGCTGTAAATTAAAAACCCATAGGTGATATTAAAAATTGTTAAAATTTTGTTTCAATAAAAAGGTCTTAGCCAGGCGCCGAAAAACAAATAACGATGGCACCAGGTGGGCCTCTCTGGGGAGCGCATTCTACAGGTGGGGCGCCACCGCAGAGAAGGCCCTCCTCCGGGTACTTTGCCTCCTGATGTCTCTCCCGGAGGAGGGTCTCCACTGCTCATCTCAGGGGGCGGGAGGGCAAATATGGAAGAAGGCGTTCCTTTTGGTATGAGCAGACAGGCGGGGCCGGGGCCGGAGGGACTGAGGAGGCCACGCTTGGCCACTGCCCGCTCTTTTGGCTCGGGCCTCTTGGCAGAGCGGCAGAGGCACCGGCTGGGGGAGAGGGCTGGGTGGCCAGGGGGCGGGCGCAGGCAAGGGGGGCGCTGGGAGGGGAGCAGGGCAGGGGCAGTGGGGAGGAGGGGGCAGGGCCAGAGGGGCCAGGAGGGAGCAGGGGGCGGGGCCAGTGGCCTGAGAGGCATATAGGGCCGTGCTCGGCCACTGCCCGCCCTTTTGGCTCGGGCCTCTTGGCGTCGTCCCTTGTCTGCGGCCCTTTGCTGCAGCCCGGGCTGTCCAGGCACTCCCTTCCCTGGGACACAGAGGTGTGTTTGTTTGTTTCTTTGTTTGTTTTTGTGCTGTGCTTTGCTTTGCTTTTCTTCCAATTTAAATTTAAGTTTATTTTATCCTTGTGTGTGTGTGCGAGTCGGTTTTTGTCTGGGAGAACTGGTTGGGTGAGAGGAGCTGCAGGACAGACAAGGCAGGGGACCAAGGTCAGGTCTCGGAAGGGATACCGATGGCAGGCCAGGAGACGGCCGGGCGAGAGTCGCGGTGTTGCTGCTGCTGCGGCAGCTGCGACATGTCCGCCCTTCTCCCCCAGGAGAGGCAGGGAGACACTCGCCCTCAGTGCACGCGGGTGGCCCTCCTGGAGGAGGAGGTGAGGTGTCCCAGGCCAGGAGAGCCCTCCAGGCTCCCCCAGAGCAGCCCCCTCAGGACAGAGGGTCGAGGGGGCACGGGAGGAGCAGCCGGGGAGGCACGGAGGCACGTCACCCACAGGAGGGGAGCCCAGCACGGCCTCCTCCTTCCCTGGCGCTGATCTGGAGCTGGGAGCAGGTTCTCTCCGCTTGGGGAGGCTGGGGCTGAGGAGGCCTGGGGGACCAGCAGGACCCCCAGCCTGGGACGTCAGGCAGCAAGGGGGCCGCTGCAGGAGAGGCGAGGGCCAGGGCACGGCCGCCCACCACCACCAGGAAGACACAGCGGGGGGTGATTGTTGTTGAGGACCCCCTGCTGAGGGGCACTGAGGCCGCCCCGACCTGGAGACAAGGGAGGTCTGCTGCCTGCCGGGCGCACGCATCCGGCACGTGAAGGACAGAGTGGAGCGCCTTGTTCGCTCCGGGGTCACCAGCCGCTCCAGGTGATCCATGTGGGCACAAACGAAGTGGCCAGGCAGGGTGTGGTTGGGACCACCAGGGACTTCGAGGCCTTGGGGAAGAAACTCAGGGAGCTAAAGGCCCAAGTGGCCTTCTCGTCGATCTTACCGGTCCGGGGATCTGGGCCAGGCAGGGACAGGAGGGCCTCCGAGGTGAACGACTGGCTTAGGTGCGGTGCCAGAAGGAACGCTTCGGGTTCCTCGACCATGGCACCCGGTTTCTTGCCAATGGACTTCTGGCAAGGGACGGGTTGCACCTCACGAGGATGGGAAAAGGTCCTTTGGAGATGCTCCAGCGAACTTCATCAGGAAGACTTTAAACTGAGCCGGGGGGGGGGGGTCAGGCCCCCCAGAAACGTGTCTGCACTGGACAATTGTGCAGGGAGGATCAGGTTTTAGAGGTACTGCAGGGACTGACAGGCCTCCTACAGAGAGGGGCCAGGTATCAGGGAGGATGGGAGGAAGGAGGAGGCTGGGGACTCCAAGGAAAGGGAGCGGTGGGAAGGAGTTGGGGTGCATGTGCACCAATGCTAGGAGCAAGGGTAACAAGCAGGAAGAGCTGGAAGCTCTCCTGGGAATGGGAGGGTCTGACCTGGTGGGGATCACGGAAACCTGGTGGGATGAAAGGCAAGACTGGAACGTGAACATAGAGGGGTATCACCTTTTTAGAAAGGACAGGAAGGGAAAGAGAGGTGGGGGCGTAGCTTTATACGTCAGGGAAGGGATAGGAGAGGCAGTCTGGGTGAAACTTAGGGGTTTCCACAGGGAAAGAGACCTGACAGTGGGGGTATATTATCGCCCTCCAGGTCAACCTGAGACCCTGGATGATGTCCTGACAGGCCAGATTCTAAGGATATCTCGGGGGAGGGACACAGTAATTATGGGAGATTTCAGTCTCCCGGATATTACTTGGGAGACTCACTCGGCGGTGGCAGCCACGTCACGTCGCTTCCTAGAAGCTATAGAGGGAGGGTTTTTCACACAGAGGGTCCGAGAGGCGACGAGGGGGGGAAACATCCTTGACTTGGTCTTGACCAATAGGGAGGCGCTGATAGATGGGGTACAGATTAGGGGAGCTCTGGATGCGAGCGATCACTCCATCCTTTGCTTTGAGATCAGGGGACTGGGGACGTGCAGCAGGTCAAGCACTAGAAGCTGGGACTTCAATAGGGCCAACTTGGGCCATTGAAGGCCAGACTGGGGAAAGTCTCCTGGGACAGGTTACTGGAAGGCAAGGGAGTTGAGGAGGGGTGGATGGCACTCAAAAGGGAGGTTTTGGAGGCGCAAGCCTTGATGATACCTCTAGTCAGTAAGGTGGGGAGGCGGAGGAGAGCGCCGCCATGGATGCTAAAGGAGGTGGTTAGAGGGATTAGACGAAAGAGGAACCTCTGTAGGAAATGGTTACTGGGGCAAATAGACAAAAGGGTATAGCGGGAGGAGGAGGCCCGTTGCAGAAGGATTCTTCACAAGGCTAAGGCTGATTACAAGCCGAGACTTTCCAAGAATATCAAGAGCAACAAAAAGGGCTTCTTTCAGCATGTAAATAGGAAGTGGAAGGGGAGACAAGTGGTGGGACCACTAAATAAGGAGGAAGGAGATCCAGTGACTGATATGAGGGAACAGGCACAGATGCTAAATGACTATTTTGCCTCTGTGTTCTCCCCAAAGCAGGACGGGGGAGGTCCTCATGGGAGATTAGATGAAGCTGGGGATTTAGGGGCACAAATTAGATTCATCCCCCAAGAAGTCAAGGAGCTCCTCAGGGCATTGGACATTACAAAGGCACCAGGCCCTGATGGGTTACACCCGAGAGCACTTAGGGAATTGGCAGGGGTTCTCTCACGCCCGCTGGCCTCCATTTTTGAGGCCTCGTGGAGAACGGGTGAAGTTCCAGAGGACTGGAGGGTGGCATCAGTGGTCCCAATTTCCAAAAAGGGTAGTAGAAGGGACATGGGGAATTAAAGACCTGTTAGCCTTATGTCCATTGGAGGAAGAACAATGGAAAGGCTCATAAGAGTGAGAGATCTAGTGATGCCAGGGAGGGAAGGGAGGCTGGCAGCCACACAACACAGCTTCCGCAATAACAGGTCCTGCCAGACAAACCTTGTGGAATTGTATGACAAGGTTTCGAGGTGGCTGGATGGAGGGGATGCAGTGGATGTGGTATACCTGGATTTCAGCAAGGCCTTTGACAAAGTGCCCCATGATATCCTGGTGGAGAAACAGAGTTTTGGGATA